CCAACGTCGCAGCAAAACATGCCAGCAAGATCCGAAATCTCTGTAACCCTCAAAAACGCTAAGATGCCAGCTAGCAACATCAGCAAAGAGGAGCGTTTTGAATTAGCTCAATTAAAAAAGAGGGATGACATTGTCATCCTCTCAGCCGACAAAGGCAATGCCACTGTCATCATGGACAAAATAGAATACAACAACAAAATTCAAGAACTACTAAACGATGGCAGCTATACAAAAATAAAAAGAGACCCCACCAACAGCCTCGTCTCCAAAACCAACAACATCATTTCTGCTTCAACCGCATTAATTGATCAGACCAAACAGTTCTCGTTGAAACCTTCTGCAGCCAGACCACCAAGATTGTACGGCTTGCCAAAGATACATAAAGAAGATACACCTCTTCGTCCCATTGTCTCTACTATCAACTCCCCCACTTACAAACTGGCTCGTTTTTTGTCCGAAATCCTACGGCCTTTCACTGGAAAAACCACCTCTGCAGTACTAAACTCTACTGACCTGGTATCGACAATCAAGGGGATTGCCCTGTCCCCAGACGACCTGCTTGTCAGTTTTGATGTGGTTTCCTTGTTCACCAAGGTACCTGTGCCTGACACCATCGCAATCATTGAAGACTTGGTTCATCAAGGACTGAATGCTGGGGTACCCCCCCTGGTGAGACACTGCTTAACCAATACATACTTCACCTGGAATGGAACCTTCTACAAGCAAATTGAGGGCACCCCAATGGGCTCCCCCCTATCTCCGGTTGTAGCCAACATCTTCATGGAGAAATTTGAGACGGACGCCATCCAGACTGCCACTCTACGCCCGACCTTATGGAAGAGGTACGTAGACGACACTTTTGTCATCTGGCCACATGGCCGGCCTGCTCTAGACCAATTTCTCGACCACATCAATTCCATACACCCAGCCATCAGATTCACCATGGAAGTCGAAAATGATGGCAAGCTACCCTTTTTGGATGTCCTAATCAAAAGGAGACCTGATGGTTCAATGAGCCACTCTGTCTACAGGAAAGCCACCCACACGGATGCTTATCTAAAACCGGATTCCCACCACCATCCATCTCAGAAGAATTCCCTCATCAAGACTCTATATCATAGAGCCCAATGCATCTCCGACCATGAACACATTTCCAGTGAACTCAAACACGTACGCCAAGCTCTTAAGGCAAATGGTTACTCCGACTATACAATCCGCAAAGCCATCACTCCAACCATCAAGAAGGATCCTGTTGAGGAGCCTTTCAAGACCATCACCTTACCCTACATTGCTGGGGTCACAAAAAGATCTCCAAAATCCTGATTAAACACAAGATCCAGGTCCGATTCAACACAGTACATAAAATCCGTGATCTGGTACCGTCTGTAAAAGATGTGGTTCCAGACATACAGTACCCTGGCGTCTACAAACTAAGTTGCCTCTGTGGTAGCAGTTACATTGGGGAAACCAAACGACATGTCTCGGACCGCATCCGTGAACATAAAGCTGACCTGAAACACGGTAGGACTAACACCTCAGCCGTGGCAGATCACTGTTACAACTCAGTGGGCTCACATGATATTGACTTCTCCAAGACAGAGGTTCTCTGCAAGCCATCTGGCTATCATGAGAGATTCGTTCATGAGGCGATCCACATATACAAACACAGAGACAACTTTAACCGAGAAGATGGATTCTGGCTCAGCAATCATTGGAAGGACGTAATAAACCATTTCGATACACATTAGGGTGTGTAGAATAATACATAGTGTGATATTAAATGTATAAGATATAGGTTGGTTTACAGCAATACAGTATATAATTTAATGTTGGGTTTATCTATGGCAGTATATAGTACGGTATATGCTCGTGTGATGTAAGAGAATAAGGTTTAGATGGAAGCATATTATAGAATTTTTACGAGGTAAAATTGTAATGTATTACTTGCTGTTAGTAACTCAGCTTATTATAGAGTATAGTAAGTATACTGATGGTGCGATGCAGTTTATACTTTAGTTTTTTATGTAGTTTATACTTTAGTTTTCTACGTGTTGTTGAGTAACTGCAGCTACATATCATTAACATTCCTTTCCTTTGTTACTGCTAATCCCTGCACCCCCCTTGGTTGCTGCTGATCCTGCATAATGCATGGGCATAATATGACTTTGACACCCCCCGCCCAACGCCTACGCATTTTCCATGAATATGCTAAATCCCTCTTCACATGCACATTCTTTTGTTAAGGCGCTCTTCAACCCCCAATGCAGCTTATATAAGCTCCTAGTTTGGTAGTGTCTCATTCTTCACCTGAAGACGGCTGCTTCGTTTGTAGCCGAAACGTCGTGAGAATTGTTTTATTATGTTTTATTTTTATTATTTTATTACTTCCCTTCTACGTGACTTTACCGAAAGAAAACAAGAAGATGCCAACGTGAATTTAACGTTGGCGCAACGTTCCACGCTTGCTCGAGTTGTTACTACAACTTCAACAGTTGTTGGGACACGGGGCTGTCAGCGAACAACTAAGGGGCCATCCATCTCGTACGCACAGAGGGTGGAGAGGGGGGGGGGCACCCAATTGCGTACGCGTGCGTATGGGGGGGGGGGGGGTCTACTGACAATGTACGCATAGGAAACAGGGGGAGGGAGGGGGGTGAAGCCTCGATAATAATTTGTCTACATCGGCCTGCAAATGAGCCACAGTTCAGTGTCTCCAGCTGTCAGCAGAGGTCGCAACCGGGTACCCGATACTCGTACACTACCCGATACCCGGCTACCCGTACCTGGCCAGGTACGGGTACGGGTACCCGTTTGTGACCCTGGTGCGGCCGGGTACGGGTACGGGTAGGCCGTGAGTCACTGGTGAGTAACCGTTTGCCACTCATTTCGGGTAGGGTACGGGTACCCATTTGCGACCCTGGTGCGGCCGGGTACGGGTACGGGTAAGGAATCAAACCCCGTTGCGACCTCTGCCTGTCAGACAACAAGTCCTGCCGGGAGAAGTGGCACTGTGGGAGAGACGTCACTTCGTGCGCCACCGTGCCCCTGACTGCAGATATCACGCAGCTCGGCAAAATAAGTGGCCAAGGAACACGACTTAATTCGTTAATGCAGCCGGCGGTGGACTGTCTGTTTGCTTAAACACGTTAATATTATTGATCCTTGATCGTGTCTGCGTGGATTAAATATCGGCCGTTCTATATGATTCGGGGGGGGGGAGGGGGGGGTGCGTCAAGCGAGCTTACACTACAGAAAAGAGAAAGGTCCCCCGTGTAGCCTTGGCGGACTGTTGGGGCAAGTGCACACACATATATACAAACGCACGAAATACATTCAGACGGAAACGCGTATATTTAGTATATACAAAGACAAAGCTCCCCCGTAAAGCCTTAACAGACTATTGAGAGGGCATCGAACTCGGGTCGCCGGGTTCATAGCGCTGCGTGCTTACCGCTACACTACCGCTCCCCGTGGTATGTAGCATATACACAGACACACTGCATACATGCAAGCCTTCACGTACATATACAAAATACAAAGATCCCCGTATAGGCTTTAACAGGCTGTGGGGGCAAGTGCTGTTAGCGAACGGGCACGGCACGCAAGGTAAGGCGTGCGTGTGTGACCAACACCACGCCCGGCCGCCTTTGTCTTCCCAGTTCTGATGTTTTACATACGGCACCAGTGACTCATTTAAGGCTGAGTCGACCTAAGGGAAGGGCACAGGACCGGTTCGGATATTCGCTGCCATTGCTGTTGGCCGTGAGTGGGAATCGAACTCGGATCGCCGGGTTCGTAGCGCAGCGCGCTAAGCGATGAACTCCACTCTGTAGATATAAATATAAAGATCACCCGGATAGTCTTAACAGACTGTTGGGGCAAGTGCTGTTAGCGAGCAGCACCTGTGAAGGCCGTGACGGCGCACGAGAGGGTGTGGGTGGCCAGCAGCACCACCACTTCCGGCCGCCTTTGTCTCCCTGGTTGTGATGTTTGACAAACACCGCACCGGGTGCGATCATTTGAGGCCGAGTCGACCTACGTGCACGCAATTTTTTGCGTGTTTTTTTTTGTGTCTTTGACCAAAATATTTGTAGAGCCGCATCACGCGTGGAGCTACTTGTACACACACAGCAGGTACACAGAAAAAATTAACAAAAAATAGTCCGAGAACCGCATCACACACGGAGCTACTTGTACACACACATACACAGCAGATATACAGAAGAAATAAACAAAAAATAGTGAGAGAGCCGCATCACACGCGGAGCTACTTGTACACACTCACACAGCAAGTACACAGAAGAAATAAACAAAAATAGTGCGAGAGCCGCATCACACGCGGAGCTACTTGTACACACTCACACAGCAGGTACGCAGAAGAAATAAACAAAAAATAATGCGAGAGCCGCATCACACGCGGAGCTACTTGTACACACACACACACACACAGCAGGTACACAGAAGAAATAAACAAAAAAATAGTCCGGGAGCCACATCACACGCGGAACTACTTGTACACACACACAGCAGGTACACAGAAGTAATGAACAAAAAATAGTCCGGGAGCCACATCACACGCGGAACTACTTGTACACACACACACAGCAGGTACACAGAAGTAATGAAAAAAAATAGTCCGGGAGCCACATCACACGCGGAACTACTTGTACACACACACAGCAGCAGGTAACAAACAATTGTTGACTCAAATAAACAAAACGGTGATGGACTAAACGCTATTATGTATCCCCCACACACATCAAGTTATTATTTAACAATCACAGTTTGACTATTGTTCATTTTGTTGTCACCAAGACATCCCATAGTGACCCCCCCCCCCCCCATTCCCCGACATATTTAATTAATTATCCGTCACGTTGAATCACGTTCAAGAGATACCCCCCCTCCCCCTCCCCTCCCCCATTAAAACGGGCTGCCCCCTAGCGGGCTGCCCCCTAGCGAGCTGCCCCCTAGGGGGCTGCCCCCTAGCGGGCTGCCCCCTAGCGAGCTGCCCCTAGCGGGCTGCCCCCTAGCGGGCTGCCCCCTAGCGAGCTGCCCCCTAGCGAGCTGCCCCCTAGCGGGCTGCCCCCTAGCGGGCTGCCCCCTAGCGAGCTGCCCCCTAGGGGGCTGCCCCCTAGCGAGCTGCCCCCTAGCGAGCTGCCCCCTAGCGGGCTGCCCCCTAGCGGGCTGCCCCCTAGCGGGCTGCCCCCTAGCGAGCTGCCCCCTAGGGGGCTGCCCCCTAGCGAGCTGCCCCCTAGCGAGCTGCCCCCTAGCGGGCTGCCCCCTAGCGGGCTGCCCCCTAGCGGGCTGCCCCCTAGCGAGCTGCCCCCTAGGGGGCTGCCCCCTAGCGAGCTGCCCCCTAGCGAGCTGCCCCCTAGCGGGCTGCCCCCTAGCGGGCTGCCCCCTAGCGAGCTGCCCCCTAGCGAGCTGCCCGCTAGGGGGCAGCCGAAGAGGCGCAAGGAGGTGAAGCCCAGAGGGGGCACCTGTAGCATGCCGAGCCGCAGGTGCCCCCCCCCACACCCCCCACACACCCTACACACACACAACACACACACACACACACACACACCCTACACACACACACCCTACACACACACCCTACACACACACACACCCACACACACACACACACACCACTACACACATACACCCTACACATACCCTACACACACACACACCCTACACACACACACACCCTACACACACACACACCCTACACACACACCCTACACACACACCCTACACACACACACCCTACACACACACACCCTACACACACACCCCTACACACCACACCCACACCACACCCACCACACACACCACAACCCTACACACACACACACCCTACACACACACACACCCTACCACACACACACCCTACACACACACACACACCACACACACACACACCCTACACACACACACACCCTACACACACACCTACACACAACCCTATACACAACACCCTATACACACACACACACACCCCACACCCACACACACACACACACCCTACACACACACACCTTACACACACACCACACCCTACACACACCACACTATACACACACCCTACACACACACACACCCTACACACACACACCCCTACACACACACACTATACACACACCCTACACACACACACCCTACACACACACACTATACACACACACACACCCTACACACACACACACCCTACACACACACCCTACACACACACACACCCTACACACACACACACCTACACACACACACACCCTACACACACACACACCCTACACCCTACACACACACCCTACACACACACACTATACACACACCTACACACACACACCCACACACACACACACATACACACACACTATACACACACCCTACACACACACACCCTACACACACACACACTATACACACACCCTACACACACACCCTACGCACACACACATACACACCCCTACACACAAACACACCCTACACACACACACACCCTAACACCACACATACACACACCCTACACACACACACCCTACACACACACACACTATACACACACACACACTATACACACACCCTACACACACACAACCCTACACACAACACACTATACACACACCCTACACACACACCCTACACACACACCCCCCTACACACACACACACACCCTACACACCACACACTATACACACACCCTACACACACACACACCCTACACACACACACACCCTATACACACACCCTACACACACACACCCTACACACACACACTATACACACCACACCTATACACAACACCCTATACACACACACCCTATACACACACACACCCTATACACACACACCCTATACACACACACACCATACACACACACCCTATACACCACACACCCTATACACACACACACACACCCTACACACACACACCTACACACACACACCCACACCCTACACACACACCCCTACACACACACACACACCCTACACACACACCCTACACACACACCCCACACCCTACACACACACACCCTACACACACACCCTACACACACACACCCTACACACACACCTACACACACACACCTACACACACACCCCACACCCTACACACAAACACTCTATACCAACACACCTACACACACCCTACACACACACACCCTATACACACACACCCTATACACACACACCTACACACACACACCCTATACACACACACACCTATACACACACCCTATACACACACACCTATACACACACACCCTACACACACACACCTACACACACACACCCTATACACACACTCCCTACACACACACACAACCCTACACACACACACACACCCTATACACACACACCCTATACACACACACCCTACACACACACACACCCTACACACACACACACCCTATACACACACACCCTACACACACACCCTACACACACACCCTACACACACACACACACCCTATACACACACACCCTACACACACACACCCTACACACACA